CCTATAATGGGCTTAGACCTAAACCCCCAAAGCCCCTAAACCCCTAAACCCCCCAAAGCCCCCAAAGCCCCCAAAGCCCCCAAAGCCCCCAAAGCCCTAAACCCCCAAAGCCCCCGAAGCCCCAAACCTTTGAAGCTGCAAAAGCCAGATCTGAGGTTCCTCTCGGCTCGGATCTTCACAAGGGCTGTCGGGTTTGATGTCCCAGACCACCTAAGGGCCCTTAACGGAACCCATGTAGGGGCCCTTAAAGGAATCCTTAAAGAACCCATGTAGGGGCCCTTAAAGGAATCCTTAAAGAACCCGGTATAGGGTTCGCAGTAAACCTTGGGGACACAGAAGGCTTGAGCGCTTAGTGAGGGTCTAAGGTTACGGCTTAGGGGTTTGGGGTTCTGCGGTAGGGCTTTTAAGGATCATTGAAGAAAGCTGTATCATTATGGTGTTTAGGGTTTAGGGTTTATGTATAGTATACGAACCCTAAACCCTAAACCCTATAACCTTGCCGCCGGAAGCCAAAAAACACTTCAGCCCCCGGCTGCCATAGATGTAGGCTTCGAGCTCATTGCGAAGGCCCGCCAGGGCCGCGGCCTCTGCGTTTCTTGGGTTTTCGGCTTCAGGCCTTCGGCTTTTGGGTTTAAGGCATCTAAGGGTTTAGGCTTTTGGGTTTAGTTCAGAGTCTGGGGTTTTGCGTTTAGGATCTTGAGTTTAGGGCTTAGGGTTTCGTGGAGGATCGAGGTCTTTAAGGCCGCAGAACCCCTGCTCAAGAGTTTACCCTAAATCCTTACTCTGAGCTCGACATCTGTATTCAAAGCCCTAAACTAAAAACCCTACATTATCCCCAGAGAGCCCAATACCAATTAATTAAGGAATATGGCTTAAATCGTACTACGAAGCCCCATATAATTTAAGGTACGTTCCTTAATTAAGGGGTGCTGGCTCTCTGGGTCCAGCAGCCGGAAGCGTGGGTTCCGGTCACTACAGACATCTAAAGACCAAGTAACATTTGCCCTAAACCCTAAACCCTAATACATGGGCCTTAATACTTCGAATAGGGTTTAGGGTTTGGGGTTTAGGGTTTAGGGTTTATTAAACTCTTTCGCACGCAGCCTCTGGGCCTAGACAGCCAACCCCTCACCCTCAAATCTAACATATATCTAACATATATATATATATGTATTATCAATATTATCAACCCTAATCCGAACACCCTACACCCTAAACCAGCCAAAACCCAAACCCTGCCCCTTAGGGCCTAGGGACCCCCCAAACCCTTAGACCCCAGCCCCAACATCTAAATCCCATGAGTTTGAAACCCCTGAAACCGGATAAACCTACTGGTATGCTTATAATTAGTAGCCCTTAAAGAAAGCCTGTTAAAGGGACGCTGACAGGAACCCATTTAAGGGGACGATGGAAGGTGCTCTTTTGAAGAAAGGCGTACGGGAGCCCATTTAAAGGGTTCTTCAAGGAACCCTGGTAAAGGAGCCCCGTTAAAGGAACTCCTTTCCAAGGGCACCTTAGAAGAGTCATAAGCCCTAAACCCTAAGCCCCTTTAAAGGAACTCCTTTCCGAGGGAACCACAGAGGAGTCCTAGCCCTAAACCCTAAGCCCAAAGCCCTAAGCCCTAAACCGTGCCTAAGCCCTATAAGCCCACCTGCTCCTCCTTCTCCTTCAGCTCTTCAAGGCGCTTCTGGAGCCTTTCATTGAATGTCTCGTGCACGCCAAGTAAGCCCTGAGCCCTAAACCTCAAAGCTGAGCTTGGGTTTAGGGTTTAGAGTTGAGGGTTCTAGGGTCTTAAGGTTGGGTTTAGGGTTGAGGGTTTGAGGGTCTTAAGGCTTATCTGTGGGATTTGAGACTAGGATCTGATCGCATATGGCCCCTAAATCGAAACCCCCACAGGCAAAACCGGAAAAATGATACTCCTTGGGAACCTTTCAAGCGAGCATGTTGGAAGGTTCGGTCAAGATGGCATACCCACGGAATCATATTAGCCCTTCTAAACATGGTGCAGAACGTAGGGTCTAGGGCACAGAATCCAGTGCATTGGATCTTTAAATTTCACTTCGAGGTTTCAGGGCACACCCAAAACCCTAAACCCTAAACCCTAAACCTTAAACCCAAACCCTGAACCCCTAAAGTATGAAGGGTTAAGTTTTCGGAGCATCCACTACTCGAGACTTCAAATCTGCAGCGAGACTCCTAAATCCCACTATTCCCAGAGACTCCAATATCCCTTAATTAAGGAATGTACCTTACAGTATAATAGGATCCCTAATATGATTTAAGGTATATTCCTTAATTAAGGGGTGTTGGAGTCTCTGGGTTCAGTAATATTCCCAAATTTCCTTATACAGCCCTGAACCCTACGCCCTGCACCCGAGTCACTAAACGCGCTCCGGGACGCAAAACTCGAGTTGCACACCCCTGCTCGAGCTGAGTGTTTAGGCAATAGACCCTAAACCCTAAAATAGAGACCTGTCTAGGGTTTAGTGAGTGTAGGGCTTAGGGAACTCGATAGATTCATAGCAGCGAAACTACGAATTTCGTGACCTCCCGGGTGTAGTTGATGCGGGCTGCCTCCACGTTCGCCCCTGACTCTACCACTACGTTGCCGCCTGCCTCATCTGCCTCCTGCTGCACCTGCTGGGGTTGCACAAGCGACAAGATACCAGTTCCTGTTGCATCCATCCCATCGTTTACAAAAGACCTTGAAGCAGAGGTGGTTGCAGCCAGTCTTCCAGCATAGACTGGTGTGTTGTAGTCACATTGCTCTCGCAATGGATGTGCTCCAGGGCTAGACGTCTGGGAGGCACGATGTATCCTAACCCTAAACCCTAAACCCTAAACCCTAAACCCTAAACCTTTCCATTCACGGCTAGGATGCTCCAGGCTTTCAGCATCTACGTCATGTCACGGGCACCAAGGTCCCTGGAAGAGGTCCAGGGTTCAGGGTTTAGGTTTAGGCGTTTAAGTTTAGGGCTTACCTGTATCCCCACACCCTACAAAATAGTTGGTTATGAACCCTTAATCACAGTGTCTAACCCTTAAAACGGTAGGATTTTGGATCCCCAGGTAGGGTTTAGGGCTTTAGGGC